AGAGAAACATCGATCAGCTGCCTCCTGCACTCCTCCTACTGGGGATGTGCCTGCAACCAAGGTACATGCCCTTGACCGGAATTGAACCTGGGACCTTTCAGTCCGCAGGCCAACGCTCTATCCACTGAGCCAAACCAGTTAGGGCAAGGATTCTTTTTTCTTTTTGCTCTTCTGGTTGGGTGTTTTTTGCTTCCTCACATTTCAAATCATTGATTTGATTCTCGGGATCCTCTAGTCTACTGTTGAATCCCTGTATATTATTCTTTATTTCAGTGAGTGTACCAGTATGCTTAATTTCCGACTGGTCCTTTTCCATTTTTTTTTAATTTTTATTTTATCATTCTCACTAAGATCCTTGAAAGTCTCACTAAGTCTCTTGGAGGTTTCTAGAAGATTCTTGAGTAATCTTATAACTGTGATTTTGAACTCTATATGCAGTAGTTTGCTTTCTTCCATGTCTTTCATTTGTGATATGTTTCTTTGTCTCCATATTTTAGCTGCTTCCCTGTGTTTGTTTTTATGTATTGGGTAGAGCTGCTATGGTGTCCTTGAGTTGATAGAGTGGCCCTAAAATACACAGTGGCTCAGCATCCCCAATCACCTGAGGTGGACACTCTAGGTGCACCCCTTTGTGGGCTGTGTGCACAGTCTTGATGTAGAGATTTGTTTGCTGTTGGCGTCACTGGGAGGAATTGACCTCCAGGCCAAAGGCTGTGAGGACCAGCTGCAACTACAGTGGGAGAACTGCTGTGCAGGAGATACCCTTGTGGAGCAGGACTTGCTTCAGTGGGGCTTTGGTGCTCACTAAGTCTGCCCCTTGAGTGTGTTGCTTATGGGTGTGTAGAATTATAATCTGGTATGGTCTGACACTGACCGCTGGGTACACTGGCTTTTGGGTTTCCAGGGAGGAGTAAAGTCAGCCCTGTCTGAGGCCCCCTAACAGGAGCTACAGAAACGTCTACAGATTCCTCCTCTTTGTATCAGGTTTGGAAGTGCCCAGATGAGGCCCAGCTGTGAAGCAAGGCAGGCTGGTGCTGGTGCTGTGTCCTGGGCCTTTTAATGATAGGTTTGGGGCTCCCTGACCCAGCTGTAGCTTGTTTGAGATTTTCAAGGACAGGCCATTCATATGCAAAATTTACTCCACACAGATTGGGTGGGGCTACAAATTGGATGGGGCGGGGTCTCAGGGAATCACCAGGGCAGAGCAAACAGAAATGACTACCAGTAAGCCCTGCAATCGGGAAGATCCCAGCATAGGAACAATGATCCCTACAAGCACCTCCATCTGGAAGAAAGCTGCCTCCAAGTTCCTGCCCTGATGCTAGACAATGTAGTTCCTCCTGGTATGTGTCTGTGTCCCTCAGAGCCTCGCCCTAGCACTGGAGCTCAGAGGAAGTGGGAGCTTGTAAGTTCAGTTTGTGTGCAGGCCTTTTAAGAGGAGCAGCTGGGTCTCCAGCAGCCTCTGTGTCACTGAGCCCCAGTCCGCACTGGTTTTTACAGCCTGTAGTTAAGGGGACTTCTTTTCCCAGCTCTGGGACCCTGGGCTGGAGCGTCTGCTATGGGGTTGGGACCCCTTGCTCCTCCAGGTGGCCTCCACAGAGACAGTCCTCCCTCCCGATTAAAAAAGCGGCACACATGGGTGCCGGACCAGCCCATTTTGCACCTCCACATCTCCTACCAGTCTCAGTGTGCTTTCTTCTTTACGTCTCTAGTGTAGGACTTCCATCCAGCCAGCTTTCCGGCAGTTCTTGACGATGGTTGTTCTGTATTTTAGTTGTAATTTTGATGTGGTTGTAGGAGGCGGCCAGTACAGGCATTTGCCTACGCCTCCATCTTGGTGTCTCTATCCCAACTTGCTACTTTTGCCAGGTGACTTGCCTCCAAGTTAAGGCACCTGTTGTCAATGATGATATATCTCAAACCACCCACGACACGGCTTACCTATCTGTAAGGCAATGCATTATAAAAGAGTCTGTGATGAACTAGGAAGGGGGCTTAGACACTAAATCCCTGCATTCACTTAGCTTTCTTAAAACTGCTAACACTGAACACTGTCAAGTGATTACCTGCTTACTGGTTTCTCTCCCCCATTACATTGTGGGCTGGTGTCTGACTTGTTCTCTGTTATATCTCCAGTGCCTACACCTGGCACATAACAGATAGTCATCAAGCATTTGTTGAGAAACAAAAAAAGGGATGCGGCCTTCCCACATATTTAGCATTTGAAATCCCCCAAAGGAGTCAGTATTTCTCTCAATTTCCTCACCCACTTCCTGGGCTCTGCAAGTTGCCCGGTGCTCCTGACTCTGGAAAGTCCCTTCCCTTCCTCGCTCTGCAGTCTTCAAGTGTCTGGAGGCCCAGGTTGGGCTGCCTCTCTCTGGCCAGGGGTAGGGAGCCCACACCCAGACGTTTGCCCTTAGACTTGCTTACAAATCCTAGCTGGAATGAAGACCAGTTGCTTGAGGCTCTGGCAGGGCTCCAGGCCGAAGGACAGGTTTTAGGTTTTGTGCACCAGGCACTCCTGCCAGCCCCTCCTCCCTTTCAATGGCTGGGGATTTGCATTTCCTTCCCCAGGCTCACACAGGCTCACTGGGCAGCTGTGAGGGCCCCCGAAGAGATCCCCAAACTCACATTTCCTCTAAGGACCCTCCTATGCCCACAAATACAAAATCACCAGTTTTGAAATGTCTCCTCATATCATAAGGAGGGCCTTTTGGGGGTGCTGGCAATGATTTATTTCTTGACCTGGGTGGTGGTTACAGGATATTTGTATATCATAGTAAGTCATTAAGCCATACATTTACGTTCTATACACTTCTCCGTATGTGTAATATATTTCACAATAAAAAAAGACAAAAAAAGGAAGTCCTGCCCCTTCCCCAACTCTTAATCTGATTGATCCATTTGAACCCATGCCTCTCTGTGCCCAGCCCCTGCTAGAGAAGGAGGTCCTTGTCTTCAAGGAAGTTCCTGGAAGAAGCAAAGTCACTGAGAAAACAAGACACTGAATCCAGCTCTGATTCTATCCTGGAAATAACCATGCTGTCGTTGTTTTGAGGAGGAGTTCAGAGGTCAAGGAGGTGGTGGGGCTCAAACTGGGCCTGAAAATATAGGTGGGACAAGAAGCAGAGGAGGGCATTTTAGCTGAGAAATTGGTATGAGCAAAAGCCGTTAGGTGGGGTGGAGTTTGATGAGTTGGGCAGGCAATGAAAAGACCCTGGTACTGAATAGTTTATAGGAGGAAGGCCGTCTTAAAGAGCCATAGATGCTGCCCTCCCCCCCTTCACGCCCC